TTTTTTTCATTGTTGCGGTAAGGACTCAAAAGTGTGGGACAGGCACATTTAGTTAAAAAAATCATAAAAATGATCAGTAAATAATACAAAGAATTTTAGGGTGCTGTAAATTAATCTGTATATTAAACAATTCCATTTGAAATAATGTCAAATTGTAATTAAATTAGCTTATTTTATTTATCTCAACATTGAGACCACAGGTGTGGTACATTAACAAAAATGGTGTTTTGAGCTATAAATGCTTCATAATATTATATTTAATCACATCAGTAATTATATTTTTTGTCAAGGTGTGTAATGGCACTGTGGATATATTTATGAAACATCAAATGACAAATTTGAACATAAATCAAAAATTTCACTGCTGGGACTTAAAAGTGCCCGTAGTTGCAGAAACCCATTTGTGGCAATAGCCAACAATACATTGTATGGGTCAAAATTATCGATTTTTTCTTTTATGCTAAAAATCATTAGGATATTAATTAAAAATCGTGTTCCATGAAGATATTTAGTCAATTTCTTACCATAGATTTTATATATATATATATATATATATATATATATATATATATTAGGGCTGTCAAATGATTAATCGCGATTAATCGCATCCAAAATAAAAGTTTGTGTTTACATAATATATGTGGGTGCACTGTGTATAATTATTTTGTATATATATAAATACACACACATGCATGTATATTTAAGAAAAATATATGATTTATATATAAAATATTTATATTTATATATAATAAAAATTATATATAAATCTATATACAGTATATACATGAAAACATTTCTTAAATATATACAAGCATGTGTGTGTATTTATATATATAAAATAATTATACACAGTGCACCCACATATAATATGTAAACACAAACTTTTATTGTGGATGCGATTAATCGCGATTAATCATTTGACAGCCCTACTATATATATATATAAAAATTGTGAGTGGATGCAGCAAAAGCGCGAACATAAATGGAAAACTTTAAAGGCGATTTTCTCAATGTTTCGATTTTTTTGCACTCTCAAATTCCAGATTTTCAAATAGTTGTATCTCGGCTAAATATTATATCCTATCAAACCATACATCAATAGAACGCTTATATATTCAACTTACACATGATGTATAAATCTCAATTTGAAACAAATGACCCGTGTGACTGGTTTTGTGGTCCAGGGTCACATAGAGTCTCCTATTCTCACTCTTATTGTTCTTTGTTTAAGGAAGTCACTCACTTATCCAATTAAACATTCTTCCTCCTATCCCCATCTTCTCCAGTTTTATCATCAGACCCTCTCTCCATAACATGGCATGTGCTTTTTCTATATCGACAAACACTGCAATTACTGATTCTTTATTTGAGCTTCTTTATTTCCGCTTGCAAACACATAACCAGATCCATAGTTCCTCTAAATCCACTTTGATAAGGTGAGAATTTTTCTTCATTTTCCCAAAAATACACTAGTCTGTCCGTAATCATTCTCTCCATCACTTTCCCTACATGAGATGTAAGGGCTATTGGTCTACAGTTATAGCCGGCTTACTTGGATCCTTCCCTGCTTTTCTTACTGGCAACACCAGTGCCTCTTTCCAGCTTTGTGGTAGTACCCCCATTTCCCACACTTTATTATAGAACTCTAACATTACATTCGGCGATTCCTCGCTTCACTGCTTATATAATGGCTGATTTCATCTTGACCAGGAGTCGTTTCTCTCATTCTCCTCAGTGCTCGTTTTAGTGCCGTCATTCCAAACGGGACATCATCATCTCTTTCTTCTCTTTTTTTCCAATAGATGAGGATGTTCTTTTAATATTTCCTCCTTTTTTCTCTTAAATTCTACATTTAGATTTTCCTTACCGTTTACTTTTACAAATGTATTTAAATGTATTTTATAAACGTATCACTGTTTTCTACTGCTATAACTTCCTCTTCATTAAACACGGGGTATTCTATCTCCTTCCTTATTCCGTTCATCCTTCTGATCATATTCCATACCTCTTCTATTGATGTTATTCCGTATTCTGTCACAGAAATCTCTCCAATGTTGTCTTTTTTCCCTTCTTAACACAACTTTTACTTTTGCCTGTTCTCTCTTATATTCCATTATCTTGATAGTTATGCCTTCTTCTTGTACGCTCTCATTTTCCTTCTAATAGCTTCATCACACTCCTTATTTCACCATGGTACCATTTTAATCTTTCTTCTTCCTTTTCTTTTAGTAATACTGCTGCATTTTTCATGACCCCTATAATTTTCTCACTTATAGCTTTTATGTCATCACCATTTCTTACATCATTTATGTCTAAACTATCCTTCACCATTCTCATATACTAAGTCCAGTTAGCTTTCTCATATTTCCATTTCCCTTCTCTTCTTTCATTTCTCTCTACACTCTTATTTATACACATTTCTATCAAAATAGGAAAGTGATCACTGCCTATAGAAATAATGATTATGTTAAAACACAACCAACACCATCAGATCTTCTCAGTTTATTGTTCATCCGGCTGCTATAACTCATGTACAGCAACCAAACAATATCTAAAGTTAATAAGTCAATGGTCAAGAGCCCAACTAAAACACACACTTATCTCCATAATGGTGACTTAAACATTCCGGTTTTCTCCTTCAGAGATTCTGCTTGTTAACATCAGGTGTCTTCAATAATGCTCAATCATCACTCAGTTATTCACTTAATTAACTCATTAGCTCAGAGTTTAATTGGGTCGCTTAAAATGACCAAATTCCATGATGTTGAAGTTACATGAACATATTATGTTTGTTTAACGAAACATAGTTATGTGGAACCGGTGGAACCTGTTTACATAAAAAAGTTAAGGAAAGCCAACATATCATTTTTTTGAGTGCAAACTTCTAGCATTATATTGTAATATTACTAACATTAAGATTATTGTCCATCCCATGATTCTTGGCTGTATTTTTGTAGTTAGACCATCTCTAAACATTTCCCATGTTAGCCTTTTAATATCCAGGAACCTCCCAGCAGCTCTCACTATTATTTTGAACAATTTATGACCTCTGCCATGAATAACACAAAACTCTTTTTACTTATACTGTGTCATCTGATATATTGCTTCTCATTTCCTAATTTCTGCGCTCAAACTCCTCACAATTGAGACAATCTCAATGGGAATAATCTGGTACATGCGAGTGTGAAGAGTCTCTCTGATTTAAAAGATAATTGACATTATAAACTCAAAACACTGCTGCGTCGGATTCATATCATATAATAATGTCATTTGAACTAAATGTGTCAGCAGTAATGTCCCATAATGCACATTTGTGTGTTTTATTTTACTGAGATATTAACTGATGTTGAATTGGGGCCAAAGAGACATTATCATCAAAACTGAATGGTAGGGTTAGTGTAAAGGGATATAATATACAGTTTGTACCGAATACAAATCATTACGCATGGAGAGTGTTCACAAAGATAGCGAACCAGAATGTGTGTGTGTGTGTGTGTGTGTGTGTGTGTTCTATTAAGTGACTTTACTGTATTAAATATTTTTTGTGGAAGATCTATTCAAATATTATTCCCTTTCATACTGGTGTTGAGGTACAAACTCTTATTTATTGATTGGGATATTCATAAACTTAATGGATGTTCTTAAATATTGTATGTATTTTTTTGCACTATGTATTAGCCTATGGTTGTTTGATGAACGCATGTTCCTGCTTGTGACCTGCAGAGGACAGCAACTCTTTCAAACTCTTTCAAACTCCAGCAGAACAAACGCAGTTTGTTGTTTCCATATTTGTCGTCTTTTGTTTTTAATGACATAATCTTCCTCTAAGAGTATTTGACGCACAAATGTGCGAGAATCGAACAATCGGACCATTCAGGGGAATCTCTTCGTCAGCTCTATATGGAAAAGATCCATGCTGTTTAAACTGTTCCCCTTTAAGAAACCGGAAAAAAATAAATTTACGCCCCTTTCCTGCTCATCTGAGAGGCGGTGTTCATCAAAGTGAAAGTAAAATCCATCGGCATACGCAGCCATTTTATGAAAACATCAAAAATCATTTAGATTTTCTTAATGTAACATCAATATGATCAGCATGATTTGTGACTGGTACATTTTCAAACGGGTGAGTCTTACAGATACAGTTTAAGTATTGCTTAAATTTTATTTTTGTGTTTTTGTAGCTGCTGTGTCCCAGGGCCATTTTGTTTCGCTAACTACCTGATTTTCCATTAATTTTATATACATCTAAATACATTTTATAGTTTAAAGTAGACTAATGAATTTGCATTCAGAACGCTAATACATCGTGCTAGAAAAGATAGATTTAACGATATTGAGACAATCCCTTTTAAAAACAATAATTCGATGTTTGTATTCGAATATTTAGGACGTCATTTAGGCCTACAGAAGATTCAAAGAGTTGGTTTTCTCTATCCACTAAGCAAAACTATGTTCAAAAGACGTCTTTTTAATGTATTTGTCACAAAAGCGTAGCCTACGTTGAAAGACGCATTTTGGACATAATTATGCTTAATGTGATATCAGCACAATATAAAACTGTCTCTCGAGTTTTTCTTCTGGCAAAAAGCACAGGAATACTGATGAGGTGCAGTGCGATTCGATTCGCAAGTTTAGCCGATTTATTTTTTGCCATTAATGCTCAAAATGTTGCCATGCAAGAGTTGGCAGGTATTGAAAGTACCAGTATTATTAATATAACTATGTGGTTTTACTGAGGCACATTGAAGCTGTGTGATACCACCACAACCAAATCTCAGGAAATGATGAAATTGAGCCATGTGAATGAAAATCATATTTTACCAACTTTTAATTCTTAATCTAAAAGGCCAAATCCTAAATATGAGGATACATAAGGATTTGGCCTTTTAGATTAAGAATTAAAAGTTGGTAAAATATGATTTTCATTCACATGGCTCAATTTCATCATTTCCTGAGAATGACTAGTGGTAATTAATTTAGCATAAATATTCTAAATTCCCTTCATGTTTTTGTTTTGCTTCAGTTCATTTAAGATGCAAAGATCACAGTCATATGAATCCAGCTGTGTGTCCATGAAGAGTGACCGGTCAATGGATCCTCCACGTAACTTCAGTGGACACACTGATCCTGGCTTTAGGTAGACATTTTACTAAACCATTTATCTTATTATTATTGTTGAAACTAAGAAATTGTTCATTATTAATGCTGTAGATGAGCTAAAGTGACTGTATATAATGCAAGAAGGTATTAAATAAAATATCTTAATCAATGACTCACATATGCACTTGCTGTAAAGTCTGAATCAGTTCATTAGAAAAGTGATTAAATTAAGAGTGTGTGAATTACATTCTGTTCATTTCACTAACCAGACCAGATCCTCCAGACCCCAGCTGTGTGTCCATGAAGAGTGACTGGTCAATGGATCCTCCACGCAACTTCAGCGGACACACTGATCTTGGGTTTAGGTAAGTGCTTTACTAAACATTTATTGATTCTTCATGAGGTCTGTGATGGAATTACAAATTATTATTTAATCTTGGACGTTGTGAAATCTTAGGAATGTAAATCCAGCAGCAAATGCAATCATTGGGGTGGTGAATTGAATAATATACTTTATCATCCCTAATGCATATCATGCATGTCTTCTTTGACTCCCAAACTAGTTTTGTGTTGAGCACTAAAAACTCCCAACTATAATAACCCAGATAGCAACATTATTTCGGCCCACATCTGGCACCCGTGGAATACTGATCTGACCCACATGCAGCATGGATTGACGGCCCTTGGGTGGCTCACTCCTGTTTGCCAGATCTGGGCCACAAGCAGGCCATAGCAATGCCACATGTCAGCCAAGAGCAAAGAAATAAAGATGTGTAACTCTGTTTCATTTGAAGTCACCACAACCGTGATCAGTGTTTCATTTAATTGGGCTCTTAACTCTTATTATATATATTATTATTTTTTTGCCTCTGTGACAGTGTGTGTGCACTATGCAGGAATTCCGTTTGTCAAACAGCGACCCCTAGAGTCGCTGTGGAGCACTTGCACTGTCGTAAATAGCACTCACGCAGAGATGGCTCGCACTCACGGCCTGATCCCCTCCCCCTGTACACCAGTACCTGTTTTTTTGTTTTTTTTTAATGAACACCGGTACCTGTTCAGTAGGATGGACGCTGTAACGAGTGGAAATAAGGTGTGGCCCCTTTAAAGAGCTGCACGCCCTGTTTAACTGTCGGCAGTCTGTATTGTCTGTGCGCCTCGAACACCACATGTATACGGCGCAGGATTTATTTCTGTTTGATGCTTATTTTATCAGAATTTTATCAGATCTTTTCTGACATTTGTGCTTTGCCGTAAAGCATTTCGGGCCCGCCGGCTCAAAGTTGCAAGTGTGTTTTTTACACTCACATGTGATAGGGGGGTGCGAAACGACCACCATTCAACCTGAAAAGAGTAATATAACCATTCCAATGACTCCGAAGCTGTTCGGTTGAGGTAAAAAACCTGCATAGTTCACCTTTAAACACAATTGCAGTAACAAAAAAAGCTAAAGTGAAATGAGATTGTAAGGCTGGAAGCTTACACTGGTATTTTGAACCACTAATCGGAACAAGGCAGTTCAAGGATGACGTGTATAATTCAAATATTTATCTGACTCCAATATAATTAATCTGACTCCATTAAAGTTGTTGTTATTCTTTAATCTCTTATTCTTTAAAGGTAAAGGTCTTTCTTAACCCTCTGGGGTCTAAGGTGTTTTTGGGTTCCAATGAAACATTGATTAAAATTAAGATAAAATTTATACAAAACGAAATAAAATTTAAAGAAAGGCTTTCTACAAAACAAAACTTAATAAGTGGTCAAAATCTGACCCATTCCAAATGTTTTCCGATATATTGGTCATCTTATGATCCTATCTTACTCATCTCATGCGGTTCCCTTTTCATATAATCGACATAGATGAAATAAATAAAAATAACATTATATTAGGCTATTTAAACATAAATATGAAACGTATGTTTAAGTTTTTTAACTTATAAGCGTCACACCGCTCCGCTTTGCTCATGCTCTGGTGTGTATGCATGTGTGCGTGCATGTGGTGGAGGGGTGTGATTTTCGAATAATAATCAAATAATACCCAGAGATCTTCGAATATTATTTTTGCTTGAAAATTTCGTTTTCAATTTATCGTTTTGTATAAATTGTATCTTCATTTTAATCAATGTTTCATCAACAAATTTGCCTGGATTAATAAATAAGAAGCAAATATAGTGGACAATATAATCAGGACACGGAGGCGCCGGCGCGTGCACACTTCATATGAAGTGTGCATTTCTCTCTATAGCCGCGTTCACTACTGCGAAGATGGCGAGTCTGCATCGTTAACTTTATTAATTTATCAACTTTATCAACAATTCAAATGTTTCATGCATAACTATTACTTTCGCCGGTTCTTTGTGGCAAGCTTTATTTCAGGTGTTGCGTGATATCTCTGCGCCCAAGTAGCAGTGCTTCGGCTGTGCTTCCCCCTCATATAGTCCCAAATCAATCTCTGCCTAGGAAATCACCTAGTCTTAATCTGCATTGCTATTTGTACTCGTAAATAAGCAGGCCACAAGAAGTAATTCTTTTTATTCTTTTTATTTTTTTATCACTTTTACTCACGACATGCTACCTGGCAACATAGGATTCCATTCATTATGCTAAGCTAAGCTAGCGGTGGTGCTGCCAGACTAAGACAATGCATGCACTGAGACAAAAATGCATTTGCCCACCTATCTAAATGTAGGGGAGACAGACAGTGAATAACCCCAATTTAGAAAAACGGTGGAGTGTTCCTTTAAACAAAACAATAGGACAATAGGGCTGTAGTCAACCAAAGAAATCCTTAGTCGACCAAAGTCTTGTCCTGCACAACGATTAGTCGAAAAAAAAAAAAAAAAAAATGTTGTTTTGGTTGAACATTTTTTAACAATTGTCATAGAGCATTTATAAAACAACAACTAAAAAACATCAAAAATACATAACTATAATAATAATACAATTCTTCGAAAATTAAGTGATTTTTTTTTAACTGCAAAAATTGAGGAGCTCTGTCTCAGTGGCGTACGTTTGATTTTGAAATTGGTGGGGACGGGGACATCAATATATAAATATATTTTAAGTTTTGATTGAAATTATTGCTAGGGATATATCAGTGTCACTGGATATTGGTAGGGACACGTCCCTAGCGTCCCTACTAAATTCTACGCCCCTGCTCTGTCTATAGTAACAGTCACAATCGCGCACCTGACCACACCACATGCTACAAAAAATATAACTGCTATCTGCCACAATGAAAAATCCTAACAAAAGCTCTCGTTTATACAGGCTGTATATTCTTCTTTACTTTCAAAGCTATGGGTTAACTTTTGTCCAGCCGATCTAGGCGTTTTAAAACAAACACACAAAAAAACAAAGAGCCTAAAAAACAATCCTAATAATAATAGGCTGTATTGTAGGACCGCATATAGGTTTATTTTCGTTTTGTTACATTATTTAGGCTATTTTCAAACGTGTCAAGTGTACAAATAAAAACAAAAACATATCAAGAAAACACAATCTATAGAGGGAATGCATTAACGTCACTTCCCCGCCGGAACACGCCCCCCTCAGCGGGACTGAGTGGCAGAAGACGAGCTGCTGCGTGACTGGAGTTAATAGGGGAAACTGCGTTAACGCGAGTAAAACAAACTATTATCAGTTTAAACTAAAAGTTGGACTCGATATAGTGTTCCTTACAACTTATCAAAGATCCAGTGATCCATGGATATTGACATGCAGCCAGGAATCGTGTTTCCTGACATTTATATGTGCCTGATTTCGATGCCGTGGAAATAAATGAAGACAATTTGCCTGTAAACGTTTTATATAAATACAATATAGATAGGTCTAAATCCGAGTGATCACTTACATTAATGTTATACTGTATATCATCATATCGTCCAGCCCTAAAACTTGTATAGTTTTTTGTCAGTGTTTATTTAAAAACATCCAATTATGCAGAATATAGTCTGTTCTGTAGCTTTTTGCAGTCTGTAAAAATATACAGTACCTCAGATTTCTGGTCAAATCTAGTTGTACAGTCAATCGCAAAGCTCTTTCCCGTTTTAGATGTGTTTTGTGTGATTTTCACGGCGTTCACGCTGAAAACAAAATTGCTGCCGCTCAGTCTTTTTGCCACTTGTGGGCGTGACCGCATTCACTCCGGCCGACGGTGACGTCATGCGCATACCCTCTAGTGAGTCAGCATGATAAAGCCGTTAAAGGGACTGCTCACGTCTTTTGCGCGCTCAAGTTCGATTTCAAATGTAGGCGCGCGGTGTGCGCGCTCATGATGGAAGCAACACGGTCACGGTGCGACGCGCTCTTTTTTCCCAAGTGCGTCCACGCCGCATCGAGATAAAAACATATAGTGTATAAAAACATAAAAACCGAAACAAGTAGCGTTCTAACTGAATGAATACAGCTAAACTACCTATCCCTTACTGAGCACGAAGCAGCAGCGCAGCCAGCCACAGGTGCGAACCGAGTGTTCTATGTGTGTGCGCTAAACTGTGGCGCTGTTACAAAATAGCCTAAATTAAAGCATTTAAAGTTGTGGATAAACCATAGGCTAATTATATTTAGAATACAGTAATATATAACTGCTTATAAAGGAATAAATATAAAGGAGTAAATCATTGAAAATTTATTTCTATTAGTAAAAAAAGAAAAAAATGCAACTGGTCGACCAATAAGAATGTCAGTCGACCAAGACGGCATCGACCGATTAGTCGAGTAAACGACTAAAGTTGACAGCCCTAGACAATTCAACTGCATAATTCATTCATTCTGCAATGCATGCTGGGAGTTTTGTACTATTGCAGCATGGCACTTTTGATTGTCATCCTTGTTGAGATTCATGTGCTGATTATTGATGTCTGTGTCTGTCTAGGCTATATGTCATTGTAGGTAATTGGTTTGTGCTCATGTTTGTTAAAAACGAACTGATTGTCATAATACTGCTGGATTTCCTGCTGCAGTAACAGGGTTTGTAACGTATATGCATTATTAATGCTGTAAAGGCACTAAAGTGACTGTATGTAATGCATTTCAGACGTTATTAATTTAAAGATCTTAATCAACTGCTCACAAATGTGGATGTGCACTTGCTGTAAAGTCTCCAACAGCATAATCAATATTAATAGAATAATTCAGTCACCTGAATCGGTTAAATACAAAAGTCATAAATTTAAGATTTGTGTTTAACTAAATCCACAGACGGGACCCTCCAGGATCCAGCTGTGTGTCCATGAAGAGTGACTGGTCAATGGATCCTCCACGTAACTTCAGTGGACACACTGATCCTGGCTTTAGGTAAACCCTTTACTAAACCATTGTGGTAGATTTTCCCCCCACGCATCTGACTTAGGTTGAACCTGGTGTCCTTGACACCTGAAAATATTATACTCAGTTGAGTTACCTCTGAACACACAGGTTGACACAATCTAACCCCGCCTAAGAGTCTCACAAAGAGTCGAACGACATCTCGCCCCCTATCGAACACTATCACTTGGGAATAAGGTCTCTAGTGTTCTTAACTTGTCCCACACTATCACTTGGTAATAATGTCTCTAGTGTTTCGCTAAATATCTTGTTCCACTAACTAACTTGCTGCGCAGCAATAATATACAGACAGACTTCAGCAAATGTCCTTTAAATGCTTTAATCACGGCCGGTAGAGTCCTCAAACAATTCTCAGAGCATCTCTCCCAAGAAGCAAGGCCGGAGGATCTCAGGCAAATTCCATTTAGAATCCCACCAGAAAACTAGCCTAGGTTTCCTCATGCTGCCTTTGCGCAGCGCGATTTTATTCATGCTACTAGCCAGTCTGGATACCATGGACCAGGTTTTTGTCTCAGCGAGGGGACCAATCACAGAACGGGGAGGGAGCAACAAGACGATGAGGACATCTATGCGACACACCGAAGCAGTTTGTTCATACCTATGGATCAAACATGGCAGCAGACGCGAAGTTACCTTTCGATGCAGCCTTAGATATTGTTCTAAGTAGTTTAGAACGCAAGTTTATTTATTTTGCCGTTAAACCGCTCTACATACGTCATCTGGTATAATTGAAACGATTGGCTATGAGCTACGTACAGGCGCATTTTATAGACTTTCGTAGCACCCAATAAACGGCTCTGGGCATTCGTAAACCACGCCTCAAATACGAGAAAATGAACATGTGGATCCCAGACCGTGTCTCAATGAGACGTGATCTGACGTTAGCCAGGTTACCAGAAAACACGAATACAACCGTTTTTATAGAATAGGGGTATGGCAACAATGCCATTATACATTACATAATTTCCCTACAATTTGATTGGTTCTTCATATGCAAACTCTGCTGTTACTAGGTAGGAGTAAACTCTGTTTTTGGTTTCAAGTTTAGTCATCTGTTTCATTAGTGTCATTTCCCATATTTGTTATTTATACACTCACACAACCAAAGTCACAAGTTTTCACCAAAAGGGGAAACATACAAAAAAGCATATGAATGTTGTTCTTGCAAGAAAAACAAATGTTAGTTGATTAATTAAAAAATCCATCACAGCATGTATCTTATTACATCTGTACACAGTAAAATCCCTGGTGTTAATTTAACACTGCTCTGTGTTTATATGGGATAGTAACACTGAAAAAGTTTTGGAGTTAATTAGATAATTATAAGTACAATATGTAATATATTTGGATTAAATATCCAAAAACCACTACTACAATGTTATTGTCACTGGTTGGTTCAGGCAAGAGAGATGAAGAACACTTTCAAAACTTTCTTTAATAATCGATGCACGGAAGACAGGCGAACAGGTTTGACAGCGTGTAAACACAACACACGAACAATACCGGACACTGAACAGAAGACAGGCAGGAACTAAATACACAGAAATGATTGATACAAATGACAGGCAGCTGTGAGAGAGGTAATCGGTGTCCATGGGAACAGATTGTGGCGGGAAACACAGAGAGGGTAACACACGTGAGAAAATCCAAAACAAACTGAAAGTGACTGAGCCTACTGGTGACAGTTATATATTTTGTTGACTTTTGCACTTACATTATCCCAAATTTTTCCAAGAATGTTTAAATTCAGAGAAGTAAGCAATTTTAACCAAGGACCATGTCCTTGTGTCGCCTATCAATGACACCATCCACGCGTTACCCTCAATTTCCGGTTTTATTTTAGAAGAAACCATGGAAACACCAAATATGCTTTTATATATTATGTATTTTATTAGACAGGCGAGCAACTGTTTGCATACATTAATTGACAGGATCATCGTTATACATCTCAACACATTTAGTCTAAATGTCTAAATCTTGTTTTCTTGATTTACCACGAGTACTATTTTTACTGAGTCTAATATCGATCTATCTTACTTCAGTGTGCAACAAGTGTGCAATAGTAGCTGCATAGCAACGGACACACAGAGTTGCATTATAACATAACTTTAACGCTTGGTGAAAATGAGCAGGCAAGAGAGAGAATCTAAATGCTAGGAAGTTTAATAAAAACAAGGCATCTATTGTTTGAATTTCCTGAAAATCATTAACATAATTTTTAAGATGAGACTTTGGTTCTTATCGAAAGTAACAACACACAAAGCTTAATGCGATTATTGGATAGAAGGTGCACTATATAATGTCTAGTAAAGTTTTGATACAAACTTAAACGGCAGAGACTAAAAGAGAGAGAATTGTTATCGATTCATTAAAATGAATATATATATATATATATTATATATATTACCCTATTACTAGACGCCTCCCAGTTTGGAAACCTCTGCTCTATGCAATGCATTTCAGAATGAAGAGCTTAATTAACAACTCTGATATGTGAATATGAGCACTATAGCAGTTGCACTTGCTGTTATTTCTACAACAGCATAATACATACTAACCAAATTATTCAGTCACCAAGAACAATAAACCATTACAAAAGTGATTAATATAAGAGCGTTTGAATTACATTCACTTGTTGTGTTCAACTTCACTGCTCAGACGGGACCCTCCAGACCCCAGCTGTGTGTCCATGAAGAGTGACTGGTCAATGGATCCTCCAGTTAACTTTAGTGGACACACTGATCCTGGGTTTAGGTAAACACTTTACTAAACCATTTATCTTATTACATCTTCTAAGTTGAAACTAAGAAAATAGTGCATTATTAATGCTGTAAAGGGACTACAGTGACTTTGTAATGCATTTCAGAAGTTATTAATTTAAAGATCTTAATCAACTGCTCACATATGTGGATGTGCACTTGCTGTAAAGTCTCAAACAGCATAATCAATATTAATAGAATAATTCAGTCACCTGAATCGGTTCATTACAAAAGTCATGAATATAAGAGTGTGTGAATTACATAAATTTATTCTGTTCATCTCAATGCACAGACCAGATCCTCCAGACCCCAGCTGTGTGTCCATGAAGAGTGACTGGTCAATGGATCCTCCACGTAACTTTAGTGGACACACTGATCCTGGGTTTAGGTGAGTGCTGTACTAAACATTTATTGATTACACACACTGTTAGACCTTACCAGGCTTTTTACAGTAAAATACTGGCAACACTGTAGCCAGTAATTTACTGTTAATTGTACAGTTCTTTACTGTAATCTACAGTATGCTACTGGAAAAAATTCACAAATTTATAAAATTAACTCGAGTTAACTAATTTCACTTGCACAAACCGACTGCCTTAAATTGACCAACTGTCATTTAAATGTATTAACTAAAATGTATAATGCACAGATAATTTGAGCAAAGTATTACTGTGAAATTATTACATTTGAGACCACTTAAAAAATATTGTACATAAAAAGATTTCCACTGGACCAGTAACTACACAGTCACCGCCTGTTAAATAAAGCAACATGCAGCGTATCATCAATGTTTGTAGATCTTCTCCTGGACTGAAGCACAGGCTCTACTCTTCAGCACAATGGGGACCCAAAAAAACTCAACTTTACAGTAAACTACTGGCAACAGTGTTGGATACTGTTGTGATAAATGACTCTTGCGCCCGACACAAATTTAAAATGTGTTGGTCTGAAGAAGCTACATTACTCATAGGTGTGGTTTGGGCGTAACGTGAAATAAACCAATCAGAGCGTATTCTCACATTCCTTTTAAGAGCAGGCACGCTTGTTCCATGGCGGATTGCTATTATAATGGCGGATTTGCCAGGCGCACGCCAGGAGCGGTTCACAGCCGAGGAGACCGACGTTCGCGCCAGGGCCGTAAAAGACAGAGAAGTGACGTTGTATGGGGACGGGAGAATCCCACCCAAATTAGCTTCGGTTACACAGGCGAATAATAATTTGGGTAAATGTGTAAGCTATATTTATGCCTATTTTTTCACATCTTCATGGACACCACAATGATTTCCCTAGTGTGGAATATTTTTCCTTGTATGTATAGTTTGCAAAAATGGGAACTGCTGCATCTGTGTAGATGAGAGAAGCACAGTGTATGCGCATTGTGCACACGCTACATTATGGCCGAGCATGCGCCCTTAAAGGGTTAGTTCGCCCATTTAAGACAATCCTTACCAGCACTATAGTGCATACACACTGACCCACTCTGTTGTCACCTCCCTGGTCAGAGTTCTGGCCGCTGGAAGTTTTTCAATAAAGTACTCCCGGTTATTTTCCGGTGCCACAAAACTGTGCGTTTTTACGTGAAAAAAATATTTGCGTTTCAAAGCTTGATTAATTTACCACACAAAAAACACGCCGGTCAAAATTCATACCTCAGTTTTAATCGGCACTATTTTCTATCAATCCGCGCTGCTGTCAACGTCAACAGTGCGCACGTTGCGATCAGCTGTTGATAGCGCGACTCGCTGACAACATGTCTGACTGCGAAACTTCTGATGATGAAACCAATTTTAGCACAATGCCAGACGGATCAGATGATGAAAGTAATTTTAGCACAACGACAATGTTATTGATTGCAACACAAAACCTCAATTGTGTGTGTTTTCAATCAAATAGTTTTCTCAGCAAATTGTACCAATATCCCTATAGCTGTTTTTATATTAGACATCTTTTCACGTGTTTTATAATGGAGTCTAAACATCAGCTTGTTTACCGTACAGTTTAGACATGGGATCATAAAGTTAGTAAATGAGCTTACCCGTGGTACTGGTAGACAGCAAAACTCTTTAATTTTCCTTTTCCTCCTTGATTGGGGATGTAATCGTCTTCGCTGAAGTGAGCACTGCACACACGAAAATCCTTTATTTTGGATATTTTAGCTCCCGCAGAGTAGCCGATGGCAACCAGCCAAATCAACAACACGCGCTTGCAACCCCTGCTGGTGAGGTCGACTAACAGCAGATGGAGATTATGCTCGGTAAGCTGTCTCATAGTTATATTCGAAACAGGAAAACGATGGAATCTGAACTTTGATCCTGGCACATCCTTGTGGTCACAGCCTGGGAATTTACAAGTTCGCACCATTGTTAATTTAATACTTTTTACGTCGTTGTCAATCGATTGTGTAAACACTATGGATGATCGGAACGTGCGCACTGTTGACGTTGACAGCAGCGCGGATTGATAGATATGGATAGAAAATAGTGCCGATGAATTTTGACCGGCGTGTTTTTTGTGTGGTAAATTAATCAAGCTTTGAAACGCAAATAATTTTTTCACGTAAAAACGCACAGTTTTGTGGCACCGGAAAATAACCGGGAGTACTTTATTGAAAAACTTCCAGCGGCCAGAACTCTGACCAAGGAGGTGACAACAGAGTGGGTCAGTGTGTATGCACTATAGTGCTGGTAAGGATTGCATACAACTTCATGTCTTAAATGGGCGAACTAACACTTTAAAAAAGCATCTGAATAATGCGCCACTGACTTTAGACTAGGTTTTCCCTCGTCTGTGGTGGAATTGTTTTCTGAAACTGCAAAATAGCACCAGGGAATGTTTGCGCCGGAACACGCCTCCTCTTTTCGCTGAACTGCCCCGGGAGCGCAGGTTCATTCCCTAATTTACTGGCAAGTTCACAACTTCATTCCCTAATTTAAGGGAAAAGTCCGCTGTACGTCGGGTGCAAAATAGGAATGATACATGCGTCTGATACAATGGTACAAGTCAGTTGCGCTCGGTGCAAGATAGGACCCAAGAACTACAACTGACTTCCAGCTATTACACATTATTACGCTTATTATTACCCAGTATGATTTTATTCTGTCATGCATCTACAGCAGTTGTTATTGAGATGTTTAATTGAAAATGTTTGGTTTAGAGTTACCATTATAGAGATCAGTGTTTGCTTTAGGCCATCCTTAAAAATATTCTTGTTTGCCGTAACCCGACCGACCCTGTCAATTTAGGACCGACCCAATTTTTTATTTTTTTTCCCTTTTAGTCCGACCGACTTGCCGGTTGTAAATTTGCATTAAGACCGATCGATTTTTTTTTACTCTTCAAACAACTAATACAAATGCAATAAAATATCAATTATATTATAGTAAGCAGGCTACGTTCTTTCTTTTAAATAAAAACCCGTGGCGTCATCTATGATGATTATGTTTACACCATTGGTTTACGCATGTCACACTATGGTCTGTGCGTTCGATTCATTTCATTCACTGTCAATGGTTCGCGCTCGGTGATGATGGCTGCGGCGCGGCTGCTTGTGAAATACGTCTGTATGAGCCTACATTTAGTCGCTCATTATTCGAAATTCTTAATCGTCAAATAGGGAATAGATGTTAACGGCCTTTTCTCGGAGCGCGTCCATCACGATATGGCCGCCGCGAACGCGCATCACACAGCAACGGCAGGCTCTGACAAACACACATAAGTATGGGAAGCCAAGCACACCCAAAGTGGGACGAAACGGCGGGGTGTTACAGAGTTCGCGCAGCGCGGACATGTAGCTAATCTGCGTGGCTCAATGGGCCGAGACGCGCGAGCACGACAGACTCGACAGCGCAGGGAGGAAGTGTTTGCTTGCGCGACCTAATCTCACCAGCGCCGCGCTGACCAATAAAACAGCACATCCCATACCGAAATGTACTAAATTACACTAAAGAAAATCGACCATTCCATAATATGCGCCTAGCCATTTGACCTCACTGATTTCCGTTAATAATAGCAGATGTTTATGGGTCCAATTTAAACGAATAGTGCCAAATGCGCTGTTTTATTGGTCGGCGCGGCGCTGGTGAGATTAGTCATTAATTTATTTGTTTCCCTCTGAAAATCCACTCTTTTTCCCCAAATGAATGCAGCTGGAATTAATGCAATAAACATGTTTTTTGACAAAGATTTCAAATTGTTTGTTGTCTATAACCTGTATCAGAATCAGATTCGCAATGGTGCGCCCAAAGGCATGGGTTGAAGACACTGTCAATGGCGTCACGATATGCAAATTTGTTTAAATTCATACCGACGTAATCACCATGACCAAAATTGTCCTTTTTTTTTTTCATTGAATTTTGAAAAAAAAAAATATAGACCTACCTACCGACCCTTTTTTTTTTTTTTTTTTTGCTGTTACTGCAAACCAAAATATTTTTAAGGATGGCCTTAGTTGGGCTCCTGACCCTTGACTTTTTAACATTAGTTTTCACTTGCTGCTTGAACTGTGTTTTTGCAAGTCACACTTTTGGGCACATACACGGTTTGTGAATGCAGTTTGTTGTATTGATTATGATGACAAAAAAAATCATATAGCTTGTTCAATCACTATTCTCATTCAGAGTTTAATCCTCTATTAAAAGTGTTACATTAAGACCCCTGTGAAACTACAGCAATCAGTTACAACGACAATTTTTAACACATCATGCACAACCAAAGAAACAGAGCTACACTGTCTCGTAGAAACACAGAAATATCAAAAATCAGTCTCTCAACAATGGTGGCAATCATTTTGTTATTTATTTATTCATGCAGGAGTGCAAGCTGGGAGTTTTATACTATCCTGGAACCCAGCATGCATTGTGACATAACACTTTTGATTGTCACCATTGTTGAGATTCATATGCTGAATGTCTGTGTGATTGAGTCAAGCAGGAGTTTAAAATGTTTTAATGCACTATGTGATTTCAATATTCTTCAGAATAACTGATTACAGAAATATTGTTGGATTTTATGTTGTAGATTAATAGATATATGATAAATTAGGGGTGGGCGGTATGACCAAAATTCTATTTCACGTACAACATAACTTTAACGCTTGGTGAAAATGAGCAGGCAAGAGAGAGAATCTAAATGCTAGGAAGTTTAATAAAAACAAGGCATCTATTGTTTGAATTTCCTGAAAATCATTAACATAATTTTTAAGATGAGACTTTGGTTCTTATCGAAAGTAACAACACACAAAGCTTAATGCGATTATTGGATAGAAGGCGCACTATATAATGTCTAGTAAAGTTTTGATACAAACTTAAACGGCAGAGACTAAAAGAGAGAGAATTGTTATCGATTCATTAAAATGAATATATATATATATATATATATATATATATATATATATATATATATATATATATATATATATATATATATATTACCCTATTACTAGACGCCTCCCAGTTTGGAAACCTCTGCTCTATGCAATGCATTTCAGAATGAAGAGCTTAATTAACAACTCTGATATGTGAATATGAGCACTATAGCAGTTGCACTTGCTGTTATTTCTACAACAGCATAATACATACTAACCAAATTATTCAGTCACCAAGAACAATAAACCATTACAAAAGTGATTAATATAAGAGCGTTTGAATTACATTCACTTGTTGTGTTCAACTTCACTGCTCAGACGGGACCCTCCAGACCCCAGCTGTGTGTCCATGAAGAGTGACTGGTCAATGGATCCTCCACGTAACTTTAGTGGACACACTGATCCTGGGTTTAGGTAAACACTTTACTAAACCATTTATCTTATTACATCTTCTAAGTTGAAACTAAGAAAATAGTGCATTATTAATGCTGTAAAGCAGTGATTCCCAACCCCCGGTCCCCGGACCGGTGCCGGTCCGTGAACATGTTAGTACCGGGCCTTGAAATATTCCCAGATTTTTTTTTTTTTTTCTTAATAATAATTGTCTTTTTAAAATGCTTTTTAACGTGTCATGTTATTTAATCCAAAACACAAACACTAAATAAATACAAAAATAAATAAAACGCGTGTCTTTGAGCGCCTTCCGATTGCTTAGCAACGCGTCATATCTAAACTGACTGCAAAAAAAGCGCGGTGCGTGCAGCTGAACTTGAAGTGACAAAAGTATGTGGAGAGATGAGCGGGCTCAGCAAACTTGGACATTTCATTCTACCGAACTACACACAAGTGCTGGATTAATACTCACAGGTCAGTTTATTTGGCTAATTTCATTGCGGACAGTTCCGGTAAAAGGAAAGGCGATGACCAACTTGAAATATAGCGAGAGAAAGAAAAAGAAAAAGTCAAGCTTCAATCGTAAATACGATACCTCATACATTAGGTATGGATTCACGACAACAGGCGATTCCGTGGCGTCAAATCTGTTGTGTGTAATTTGTGGAGAAAAACTCTGCAATGAAGCAATGAAGCCGTCAAAACTGCAGCGGCACTTAACCACCAAACATCCAACTCTCAAAGACAAAACGGAGGAGTTTTTCGAAAGAAAGAAACGTGAGTTGGACGCTCAGCGGCAAGTTTTGAAATCACGGTGTGTTTGGATATTGTTTTCTGAAACTGTTACTAAATAGGCCTATAGTAGGCTGTATTATGTATCCTGGTTGACTTTATGATTAGTTAAATCTGTTTTGCACATGCATCGCCAGTTAACCATTTCTGACAGTACCGGACAGGCTCTATCTCGTTCACTTCACGTCTGTGGGCGTCAGTGTAGCCGCTCCAATTTACCTTCAATGAAATCTAGCCTTATAGTGTAATTGACAGAATTACTAACAAATATTTAGCTACCTAAAAGTTAAAGATTTTTAATAAAACTCAAGAGATGAATGAAATTTCAGGATTTATGAGTGACGTTAGTCTAGTATAATTTTCTAAAAAATATTTTGCTACCTAAAAGTTAAAGATTTTTTGTGTCACGCATGCATGTCTATTTTCCTCATATTAAATATAAAAACGCATGTCGACTGATATGTTTCCATTGTCTGAACTCCTTTATTAATGGAGTATATAAACAGCCTTTTCAATATATTAGTATTAGCCTACATGCATTTTCTGAGAATTTATATTTCAAGTTTTTACTGCTTATGTCGAAATGTGTGCTCTTGGTCCATCAGTGCTTGTGTCAACATATATTGGAAAACTTTTGGAATGGGTCAGACATAATTCTGACCAATTATTAAGTTTTCTGCCTATCAAATGCGCGTAAAAACTCATTTTTGCGTATAAATTGCACGATAATACACAATGCATGCTAATGCATAATCCTTATTGAATCCTTATGTGAATTTAGGGGGCGGCCGGGGGTGGGGGTTCCAACGTCTATGCACCTGCTAGTGAGTGAGTGCTATGTGAGTTGCTTTTGAAGTAGACCTAATTGAATGGGAGAAAAGAGAAACTTTTTGTGAACCATTCTGAAAGTTTAAAAAGATTGGTATGCAAGTAGCCTTTGTTGCCACCTAGTTCATTATATGCAAATAAATTATAGGCTGTTACTGTTTTACACAGTGATATGTTCCGAATCCAACGATGCATCTTAAAATTGAGGCATTCAAATTGACAACTGGTCCCTGGAATTTTTTTTTATGAATATGCTGGTCCCTGGCACAAAAAAGGTTGGGAACCCCTGCTGTAAAGGGACTACAGTGACTTTGTAATGCATTTCAGAAGTTATTAATTTAAAGATCTTAATCAACTGCTCAGATATGTGGATGTGCACTTGCTGTAAAGTCTCAAACAGCATAATCAATATTAATAGAATAATTCAGTCACCTGAATCGGTTCATTACAAAAGTCATGAATATAAGAGTGTGTGAATTGCATAAATTTATTCTGTTCATCTCAATGCACAGACCAGATCCTCCAGACCCCAGCTGTGTGTCCATGAAGAGTGACTGGTCAATGGATCCTCCACGTAACTTTAGTGGACACACTGATCCTGGCTTTAGGTGAGTGCTGTACTAAACATTTATTGATTACACACACTGTTAGACCTTACCAGGCTTTTTACAGTAAAATACTGGCAACACTGTAGCCAGTAATTTACTGTTAATTGTACAGTTCTTTACTGTAATCTACAGTATGCTACTGTAAAAAATGCACAAATTTATAAAATTAACTCGAGTTAACTAATTTCACTTGCACAAACCGACTGCCTTAAATTGACCAACTGTCATTTAAATGTATTAACTAAAATGTATAATGCACAGATAATTTGAGCAAAGTATTACTGTGAACTTATTACATTTGAGACCACTTAAAAAATATTGTACATAAAAAGATTTCCACTGGACCAGTAACTACACAGTCACCGCCTGTTAAATAAAGCAACATGCAGCGTATCATCAATGTTTGTAGATCTTCTCCTGGACTGAAGCACAGGCTCTACTCTTCAGCACAATGGGGACCCAAAAAAACTCAACTTTACAGTAAACTACTGGCAACAGTGTTGGATACTGTTGTTCGCCCATTTAAGACATGAAGTTGTATGCAATCCTTACCAGCACTATAGTGCATACACACTGACCCACTCTGTTGTCACCTCCCTGGTCAGAGTTCTGGCCGCTGGAAGTTTTTCAATAAAGTACTCCCGGTTATTTTCCGGTGCCACAAAACTGTGCGTTTTTACGTGAAAAAAATATTTGCGTTTCAAAGCTTGATTAATTTACCACACAAAAAACACGCCGGTCAAAACTCATACCTCAGTTTTAATCGGCACTATTTTCTATCAATCCGCGCTGCTGTCAACGTCAACAGTGCGCACGTTGCGATCAGCTGTTGATAGCGCGACTCGCTGACAACATGTCTGACTGCGAAACTTCTGATGATGAAACCAATTTTAGCACAATGCCAGACGGATCAGATGATGAAAGTAATTTTAGCACAACGACAATGTTATTGATTGCAACACAAAACCTCAATTGTGTGTGTTTTCAATCAAATAGTTTTCTCAGCAAATTGTACCAATATCCCTATAGCTGTTTTTATATTAGACATCTTTTCACGTGTTTTATAATGGAGTCTAAACATCAGCTTGTTTACCGTACAGTTTAGACATGGGATCATAAAGTTAGTAAATGAGCTTACCCGTGGTACTGGTAGACAGCAAAACTCTTTAATTTTCCTTTTCCTCCTTGATTGGGGATGTAATCGTCTTCGCTGAAGTGAGCACTGCACACACGAAAATCCTTTATTTTGGATATTTTAGCTCCCGCAGAGTAGCCGATGGCAACCAGCCAAATCAACAACACGCGCTTGCAACCCCTGCTGGTGAGGTCGACTAACAGCAGATGGAGATTATGCTCGGTAAGCTGTCTCATAGTTATATTCGAAACAGGAAAACGATGGAATCTGAACTTTGATCCTGGCACATCCTTGTGGTCACAGCCTGGGAATTTACAAGTTCGCACCATTGTTAATTTAATACTTTTTACGTCGTTGTCAATCGATTGTGTAAACACTATGGATGATCGGAACGTGCGCACTGTTGACGTTGACAGCAGCGCGGATTGATAGATATGGATAGAAAATAGTGCCGATGAATTTTGACCGGCGTGTTTTTTGTGTGGTAAATTAATCAAGCTTTGAAACGCAAATAATTTTTTCACGTAAAAACGCACAGTTTTGTGGCACCGGAAAATAACCGGGAGTACTTTATTGAAAAACTTCCAGCGGCCAGAACTCTGACCAAGGAGGTGACAACAGAGTGGGTCAGTGTGTATGCACTATAGTGCTGGTAAGGATTGCATACAACTTCATGTCTTAAATGGGCGAACTAACACTTTAAAAAAGCATCTGAATAATGCGCCACTGACTTTAGACTAGGTTTTCCCTCGTCTGTGGTGGAATTGTTTTCTGAAACTGCAAAATAGCACCAGGGAATGTTTGCGCCGGAACACGCCTCCTCTTTTCGCTGAACTGCCCCGGGAGCGCAGGTTCATTCCCTAATTTACTGGCAAGTTCACAACTTCATTCCCTAATTTAAGGGAAAAGTCCGCTGTACGTCGGGTGCAAAATAGGAATGATACATGCGTCTGATACAATGGTACAAGTCAGTTGCGCTCGGTGCAAGATAGGACCCAAGAACTACAACTGACTTCCAGCTATTACACATTATTACGCTTATTATTACCCAGTATGATTTTATTCTGTCATGCATCTACAGCAGTTGTTATTGAGATGTTTAATTGAAAATGTTTGGTTTAGAGTTACCATTATAGAGATCAGTGTTTGCTTTAGGCCATCCTTAAAAATATTCTTGTTTGCCGTAACCCGACCGACCCTGTCAATTTAGGACCGACCCAATTTTTTATTTTTTTTCCCTTTTAGTCCGACCGACTTGCCGGTTGTAAATTTGCATTAAGACCGATCGATTTTTTTTTACTCTTCAAACAACTAATACAAATGCAATAAAATATCAATTATATTATAGTAAGCAGGCTACGTTCTTTCTTTTAAATAAAAACCCGTGGCGTCATCTATGATGATTATGTTTACACCATTGGTTTACGCATGTCACACTATGGTCTGTGCGTTCGATTCATTTCATTCACTGTCAATGGTTCGCGCTCGGTGATGATGGCTGCGGCGCGGCTGCTTGTGAAATACGTCTGTATGAGCCTACATTTAGTCGCTCATTATTCGAAATTCTTAATCGTCAAATAGGGAATAGATGTTAACGGCCTTTTCTCGGAGCGCGTCCATCACGATATGGCCGCCGCGAACGCGCATCACACAGCAACGGCAGGCTCTGACAAACACACATAAGTATGGGAAGCCAAGCACACCCAAAGTGGGACGAAACGGCGGGGTGTTACAGAGTTCGCGCAGCGCGGACATGTAGCTAATCTGCGTGGCTCAATGGACCGAGACGCGCGAGCGCGACAGACTCGACAGCGCAGGGAGGAAGTGTTTGCTTGCGCGACCTAATCTCACCAGCGCCGCGCTGACCAATAAAACAGCACATCCCATACCGAAATGTACTAAATTACACTAAAGAAAATCGACCATTCCATAATATGCGCCTAGCCATTTGACCTCACTGATTTCCGTTAATAATAGCAGATGTTTATGGGTCCAATTTAAACGAATAGTGCCAAATGCGCTGTTTTATTGGTCGGCGCGGCGCTGGTGAGATTAGTCATTAATTTATTTGTTTCCCTCTGAAAATCCACTCTTTTTCCCCAAATGAATGCAGCTGGAATTAATGCAATAAACATGTTTTTTGACAAAGATTTCAAATTGTTTGTTGTCTATAACCTGTATCAGAATCAGATTCGCAATGGTGCGCCCAAAGGCATGGGTTGAAGACACTGTCAATGGCGTCACGATATGCAAATTTGTTTAAATTCATACCGACGTAATCACCATGACCAAAATTGTCCTTTTTTTTTTCATTGAATTTTGAAAAAAAAAAATATAGACCTACCTACCGACCCTTTTTTTTTTTTTTTTTTGCTGTTACTGCAAACCAAAATATTTTTAAGGATGGCCTTAGTTGGGCTCCTGACCCTTGACTTTTTAACATTAGTTTTCACTTGCTGCTTGAACTGTGTTTTTGCAAGTCACACTTTTGGGCACATACACGGTTTGTGAATGCAGTTTGTTGTATTGATTATGATGACAAAAAAAATCATATAGCTTGTTCAATCACTATTCTCATTCAGAGTTTAATCCTCTATTAAAAGTGTTACATTAAGACCCCTGTGAAACTACAGCAATCAGTTACAACGACAATTTTTAACACATCATGCACAACCAAAGAAACAGAGCTACACTGTCTCGTAGAAACACAGAAATATCAAAAATCAGTCTCTCAACAATGGTGGCAATCATTTTGTTATTTATTTATTCATGCAGGAGTGCAAGCTGGGAGTTTTATACTATCCTGGAACCCAGCATGCATTGTGACATAACACTTTTGATTGTCACCATTGTTGAGATTCATATGCTGAATGTCTGTGTGATTGAGTCAAGCAGGAGTTTAAAATGTTTTAATGCACTATGTGATTTCAATATTCTTCAGAATAACTGATTACAGAAATATTGTTGGATTTTATGTTGTAGATTAATAGATATATGATAAATTAGGGGTGGGCGGTATGACCAAAATTCTATTTCACGGTATGACTCATTTTATTTCACGGTAACGATATATTTCACGATATAGATATTTATATATGTAGTAGTTATTCTCGAAAAATCGACAAAAAGGGCTTTGTATAATAAATAAACCCAAATACTTTAGAAATGAAAAGTACTTCACATTGTTTTCTTTTTCTCTTATTTGGTAAATGATTTATTTGGTAAACTATTTAGACAGCTAAATATAAACAAAACACACTCATCAACTTTTAGATAAACTGCCCCCAACTGATAGATATTAAATACAACTCATAGGTGCAATTAAACTTAAAATAAAGTGTTTCTGAATCATTTTTCAATCTCATGTTATGCTTTACTTCATCAATCAGTTTATAATATCTGAATATTTTATATTGAACTATTCTATTCATGATAAATTAGTTACTTCCTTTTAATTTCGTAGGATAGTAATACTAGTTGTTTAAATGTGTTCCCCGGTACATTTTTGCCATGTCTGCTTAGGCTACACTGCGTTTTTAAGGGGCTTGTTTTGCTCTTTTTGTGATATCTGGCAACCCGTCACCCTGCGCTTTAATCAATAGAAGTTCAGAAGTGACTAGCAGGAGAGCAGCAGTTTGAAAAACGAACAGCAGCTACTGTTAGTGTTGACGAAGTAGCCTAGTTTAAATTATACACACCTTGTAACTGCGTCATTATTTGACCATAGCCCGGTGAACACCGCGCTCCCTCAGTGCGTGTGCACGCGCGCGTCTTCTGCATCAGTAAATGCGATCGGTTAATTTGAGTGTCAAGTTGTAATCACGGATCGAATCAAAGGAAGATTTTATCAGCTGGTTCGGTGGCC